GAAAGTCTGTGAGCCAGGGAAGCTGTGTGGCAAGCAGGCCACATCAGGGCTGAGAGGTCTCAGAGCAACGGCCAAGGAAGGTCGATGGAGGAAGGTGAGCAGGCCAGAGCAGGAAACTACTAGTGTGGGCCAGCACGGGATGCAGTGCCTGCTCCATAGGCAAAGTCCAGGTGACCAGACCCCCACTGACTGCCTGCATTTCACTTCCTGACCAGGTTGACTATGAGAGTGAGGAAGAAGGGGAGGAGGAAGTGGAGGAGGAGGATGCCCAAGAGGAAGGGAACATCAACAGCGAAGGTGCCCACCAGGCTCATGAGCCAGGCGAGGAAGAGGGTTCGTGCCTGGAGGAGGAATCATCCCAGAAGCCTCCCCGCCGGCACTCCAGGCCTCAGGGAGCAGAGGCTGTGGAACGCAGGATCCAGACTGTGCGGGAGGCCCACTCATTCATTGAGGACTACCAGTATGACACAGAGGAGAGCCTATGGTGCCAGGTCAGTCTGTTCAGCTGGGCCATCTCCTGAAGAGCCTCTCTTCTTTTTCTAATATTTTATGCATATGGGTATTTGTCTTCAAGGATGGCTGCACATGTGTACAGTGCCCTTGGAGGCCAGAAGAGAGCATCAGATCCCCTGAAAACGGAGTTACAGATGGTTGTAAGCCACCATGTGGGTGCTGGGAATTAAACCTAGGTTCTTTGGGAGAACAACCAGTGTTATTAACTGCTGAGCCATTTCTCCAGCACCCTTCAATGACTGGAGACACTGTGCTCTAAAGCATAGCCTTACGCACCCCTCTCTCCAACCAGTGCTCAGAAAAGTGAGCTTGTGAGTCTCAACTACAGGCTTTGTAAGTGTAGATCATCCAAATGAGTCACGTCCTTTAATCACTGCACACAAACATGTAACCATACACCGCAGATATGGCAGCTTCCTTCCTGCCAGGAGACGGTAGCCCATCAGTTCTTCCTGCACCAAAGTGTCCCCTGACCCCTCCTAAGGATTTCATGGATAGTTCATTGTTTTGATAGCAGCATCGACATACTCCTTGCCTTCTCTTTAGTCAAACTCCATGGTTCCCAAGTGGTAGCTTGTATAACAGAACTTGCTGGTGGGACCCCAAGCCCAAAGCAGCAGGCACTGCATTGTGGCCATTGAAAGGACCGGCAGTGGAGTGGGCTTGAGTCTCAGTGTCCTCACTGACTTCTGTTGCCCGTTTCCACCTTGAATTTGGGTCAGTAAAACCATCCAAATTCAGTCCTCCTCCTGCCATCCTCTGCAGCAGGACCGCTCTCCCCAACCAGGAGACCACTGAGTCAACCTGCAGGCTCCTGCCCTGCTGACGGGGCTAGGAGCAGTGTCTTCCCTGACCCAGCTCTTCTCTTGTAGGTGACTCTGAAGCTCCCACTGATGAAGACTAATTTTGACATGAGCTCCTTGGTTGTGGCCTTGGCCCACAATGCCATTGTCTATACAACCAAGGGAATCACTCGGTGCCTCCTGAACGAAACAACCAACAGTAAGAATGAGAAGGAGCTTGTGCTGAACACAGAGGGAATCAACCTCCCCGAGCTGTTCAAGTACTCCGAGGTGTGTGAGCCTGCAGCCCGGGTGCTGCTCTGTGACAAATCCTCAGCCCTGACCTCATGTTCTTTTGGGAACCAGGCCCTGGGAGTTGAGCTCCAGTCAACTGACTGGACCCTGCTGAAACATATGTGCTACACTCTGGTCCCCAAATCAAGTGTGCACCCTCATCCATGACTCAGGGACTCAAAGTGCCTGTTAGGTTGGCAGTATAGAAACCTGCTCGACATTAGCCCAGACTTGTCAGAGTCATATGAGAACCCTTTGTGTTGTTTTATTTTCTCTTGAAATGAAGTTCTTCCTAAAGTAGAGTGTAAGAAGCACTATGCTGCATTGCTGGCCTGAGTGCTGCTGCTTGCTTTGTCTGGTAAAGGTGCTGCAGCAGCCCAACCCAGAGCCCCTGCCAGGAGCTGAAGGAGGCCCTGTGCTCCCATCCCATCTCCTCACCAGTCCCTTCTCCTTTCTCTAGGACGCTTCAGGGCATAAGAGTTTCCTGCAGGCTACTTAGGAGCTTGGGGCTGCTCTGGCCCCTTATCTCCTCGCCCACATTGCACTGTCCAAAGTCCTGTGCTCCTGTGCTTCTGCTTCCACCAATGGTGCTCTAGAGCTTTTTATCAGGAGCTTGCCCAGAGGGTGAGCAGGAAGAGATCTGTACCTCCTGGGTGTGCAGGATGTGGCTATATTCACTTGGGGTTTGTTTCAAGTGCTCAGCCAGGCAGCCTGTCTCTGTTTCCTGTGCAGTGTGGCTAGTACTGGGGCAGAGCCCGCTCCAGCCATAGTGCAGAGTCACTGGGAATCCCTCTGGCTCAGTTGGAGCCTCAGGCCTCTGGTGAGGCCCAGTAACTTGTGGGGTCCAACCTATTTCTGCCTTGGGCACTCTAGAGAGGTGTTTGAGGGGCCTCTCCTTACCTCCCAAGCCTCCATCCCAGTAAACAGATCTTTTTTAAAAAATGAACAACAACAAAAAATGTTTCTCGCTGAATCTTAAGTGCATCCTGAGTTGTCTGGTCACAACAGTGAGACAGTCTGGGCCCTGACTGGTGTGCAGTGGCAGTTCTGCCAGCAGCATCCCTTTCCCTCATCCCTGCTGCCTCTGCACACTTGGCACCCGCTGGACCAGCCACGGGCACAAGGCAAACGAGAATGGTAGAGGACACGCACACAGAAGAGAGCTGGCAATGGGGCACTTAGGTCAGTCTCTCCTTCCCTTGCCCAGGTGCTGGACCTGCGCCGCCTCTACTCCAATGACATCCATGCCATGGCCAACACTTATGGCATCGAGGCTGCACTGAGGGTCATTGAGAAGGAGATTAAGGATGTGTTTGCAGTGTATGGTAAGCAGAGAATGACAGCATACCTGGCCTAGTGGGAGTGCCCGATGGCATGGCAGAGAACCGAGTCAGCCCTGCATTTTTAGTGGGAACAGAGCATGGCTGTAGAGTATACAGGGGCTATAGTTGCTTTAGAGTCCCCATGAGATAGCGTGGAGGATGGGGGCTTTGACTCTTGAAGCCACTCAATGATGTCCCAGTTGCTGGTGCCTTTTGTGAAGTTCACGGTTCATGGCTTGACCCATCAAGGTTCTAGATCCCAGTTAGAAACAGCACAGTCCAGCAGATTCCTGCTTCCTGTGCCACTAGATGAACTTATGTGCAAGATGAAGGGAGTCCACACAGTGCCTGGGCCAGGCATAGGGTGAGGGGGTAGGAGCTGAGCAGGACCTCGGGGTGTGGTCATAGCTGCCTTGTGTCAGGTGTTGCCCCCAACTCTTCTCCTGTCACTGCTTACCCCTCCTAATTCTGCCCTGTGACAGGCATCGCAGTTGACCCTCGCCATCTCTCCCTGGTCGCTGACTATATGTGTTTTGAGGGTGTTTATAAGCCACTCAATCGCTTTGGGATCCAGTCAAGTTCCTCCCCTTTGCAGCAGATGACATTTGAAACCAGCTTCCAGTTTCTCAAACAGGCCACCATGATGGGTGAGTGTGAGCAGGGACTTGGGCCTTCCCTAGTCAAATAGGCTCGTCCTGCAGTGCGTCTTTGCATGGGGTAAACTTGGAATCACAAGTGGAGAAGCAGCAGGCATGGAATAAGGAGGGGTGTCTCTTCTTCCAAACTAGGTACAGGGCCACGGTGTGAGTGCGCAGGGCCTTTGAGGCACCTGCCACACAACCTCGGCATTGAGTCCTCAGACCCCAACACACGCTCTTCTGTCTTTCACAGGATCCCATGATGAATTGAAATCACCTTCAGCCTGTCTCGTGGTGGGGAAAGTCGTCAAAGGCGGGACAGGCCTGTTCGAGCTCAAGCAGCCTCTAAGATAGCAGCATTGTCTGCCTAGCCTGGAGGACCTGAGGGTGGGCACAGCTGGCCAGTGGGCCCAGTGGGCACAGTGACATAGCAGAGCAGTGGCCTTGGGCTCCAGAAAGCAGCTGACCTGGGCTGGGCCAGCTTCACCTTTCTGTTCCCATCTCAGCCCTCAAGATGACCATGGCTTCACCTGTGCTCCAGGAGGCCTCGGCCAAATCCCTGACAGACGCCCAAGACTTCACAGCGGAAATGTCGCTGTGTGGCAGTCCCAGGTGCTGCTGGTGAGATCCATTGCCAGTGGCTGAGAAAGCATTCCTGGGGCCCCCTGAAGAGCCTGAAAGGGCAAGAAACCTGCTTCCCCCTCCCTGCCCTCCTTGCTGCAGCCTCTGGCGGAGAGTGAGTCTCCACCCAGGCCAAAGACAAAGTGACGCAAGGCCCTGGCCCTGCGACTGCTGTATAACTACAGGCACCAGAGCAGACTGGCCCCACAGCCAGGACATCTCTCCGGGACACCAGCAGTTCTCTACCTCACAGGAAGCCCCAAGTGTCCCTCTGGCGCTATTCAGCAAGTAGCCTGACCTTCCTGCCTCTGCTCCCAGCTTGATGTCAAAGCCTGCAGTCACCCACAGGCCCTGCACTGTGAGGTCTTTGAGGCATGTGATAAGGTGTCCTGACTAGGACGAAAGGGCAGAGGCTTTGTCCGACCATGGCCATTTCTATTTTTGTCCACTGTTGTTCCAACATGGTCTGAGTAATAAATGTAGCCAGGACTGGTTGTTGGGAGAGAATCAAGACATAGGTTTTTAATCTCTTCCTGTAGTGAGGAGTTGCGGGCAGGCCTGCTTTTCGCCTCACCCGGCTCCCGCACGGCTAGCTTAGTCCCAGAAATAACAACACACAAATTGTATTCATTTAAGCACTGCCTGGCCCATTATCTCTAGAGAGTTAGTTACTGACTAACTCTCATATCTTGATATTAACCCATTTCTAATAATCTCGTGGTAGCACCACGAGGTGTGGCTTACCGGGAAAGATTCAGCATGTCTGACCTGGTGGCTGGCTCCATGGCGTCTGCCCCATTGCCCTCTTCCCAGCATTCTGTTCTGTTTACTCCGCCTACCTAATTTTCTGTCCTATCAAGGGGCCAAGGCAGTCTCTTTATTGACCAATGAAAATAACACAATAGACAGATAACCCTCCTCCATCATCTTCCCTTCATTTATAGTTTTTACATCTGATAATTGGGATTTTTCTTGGCACAGTCAAGGTTCAGGTACTTCTTCCTGCTTTTATATGGCAGTATATGGGCAGGTCTCAGCCCTGACCCCTATTCTTCACCCTTGACTCCCACCCATGGCCCTGTGGCCAGAATCTCAGAACAGAAGCCTATGGGAAGAATTTGTGTCAACTTTGTGGAGTAAGAGGGCTTCAGTGACCTCAAGAGTGAGCTAGGTTAAAGGTAGGCCTTGCCAAGGGAGAGACTCTGTAGCCTTTTCCAGGCTCTTGATGGGATCCAGCCTGTGCCTCCTGTGTGCTCCCAAGAAAGCCAGCACCTTGTGACAGACTGTAGGACATGGCAAAGAAGAATGTCACAGCTTCAAAGGGAGGCAGAGAGGAAGGGTCCCTGGGAATCCCTACCCTGAGGATGCAGCCTGCAGGATAAGGCACTCATTCTTAGGGTGAAAAGGTAAACTCATTACTGTTTCTACTCAGAGTAGAGTGGTGAGAAGGGGTCCTCGTAGGAAAGGTAAGCTAGGGGCTGTGGCATCTAGAGAATAAATGGTTTCATGGCCCCAGCCTCCCCTGGAACTGAAGTGCATGGAGCTGAAGGAGCAAACCCTGAGAGGAAAAGCATGGCTGGGGACTGCCCACACCTCTGCTGACCTGTGGCCTGTCCTGGAGCCTGAGGTGGTGGCGTCCACCCATCCTCGCAGCTGTTTGAGCCCTCTGGCTCCAGCTTCTCTATCACATTTAACGTGGGCCACTGTGACTCTTAAACTTCCTTCAGAAAAAGAACATTTGCAGTCCTGAGAATACTCCTGAGACTGTTGCTATAACCTGCCGGGGAGACCAGCCTCAAAGGGTTCTGAACACACCAGAACAAACAAGTGATTCTGTTGAACGGCCCAGTGAGAGGAAGGTGAGCAGGCTCTAGATACGAACAGCCCAATGTGCTCTTGCTACTCCTCTGCTTGGGAGTGGAGTCATATCCCCTCAGTGCTGAAGACTGAGCCCAGGGCGCTCATGCCAGGCTCTACCTCTAAACTCTGTCCCCAGCACCTAGCGACTATTTTAGAAGGCTGATAATAAAAACCATACTCCAAAATTAGGATAGAATGTCCTGGGATGCAACCTGGGTGTGGGAAGAGCTCCAGAAAGGAGTATACAGCAAGAACCACGGGCTTAGTTAACCCAGTCCTAAGTACTATAACTTAAAACTAACTTCACATAAGTGTGAGCCACCTTCTCAGAAGTGAGTCGCTAGTCCTAGATCCTAGCGCGAGCTCCAAATAGCTAATGTCTTCTGGTTCCACACGTTGTCTGCAGGGTTTTAAAGGGGTTTTAAAGGCAGCTGCAATGACCTAACACTCACAGATGCTGTTCTCTCAGCAGAAAGCTTCTGAGTCCAGCACGTTAGGGAAATGGCATGTCCACCTCTCAAAGTTCTTGCCAAGACACCACAGGGCCAAAAGGAGGGGATGTTTCAGAGCCAATATTTCCTCTAAAACAGTTCCATGAGAATTTCCATCCAAACATTACAGTTTGGCTTGATGACACACACATGTAAGTCCAGCACTTGGGAAGCTAAGGTAGCAGGATCTCAAGCTCCAAGTCTACAGTGAATTCAAGACCAACTTGACCTACATAGTAAGATCCTGTCTGAAAGAACAAGGGCTGGAGTGCAGCTGTGAGGGAGAATCCTCTTGCAAGGGTCTGGGCCAGCCCAGCTCAGCAAATTAAAAACTTAGACCCTCAATGTCCAAGGAGAACCATCCCTCTGGTTCGTCAAGTGCCTCTGCTCTTCTATGCTAAGGAGTTTGGGTGCAGGTCACAGGTGTCACTGAAGGCTCTGTAGTGGTTACACTGAAGCAGGTGTGTCAACAGGGTGGTCATGTGCTCAGTGGCTCCCAAAGATCGCACCCAGTGCCCATTCTCCCAGTTTGCTCCCATCCTACATCCATCCCACCACAACCTCCACTTGTGTGAACCGTGTGGGCCCTACTCTCACAGAGCCAGTAATACATCATGCCAAATGCACTTCACCAGGAAATTCTACCTCATTGCTGATCAAAGGTTAAGGTACCCAGAAGGCACCATGTGAGTTTGCACCACACAGTCCTCTACATAGGACCAAATTACTGGCTCTCTGGGGAGGAAAGAGAAGTCACCTTGGTGCTCAGAGGCCAGGAGAGGGGGAACTCGGAAAAATTAGTTCAGTCATTGTTTCCCACTGCAGATTCCATTCCCACACCAGTCTCCCTCCCATCCTGGTCCAGCCATGTGTGCCTCATATGAGAGGACAGGTTCCTCCCCTCCCAGGCTTTCCTGCACTGCCTTTCTCGTGCGTGGACAGTGGTGGTTAACAAGTGTTCATAGAGTCCTACACGCTCTGGGTGTTTACTTGCACACTGAATGCTTTTCAACTGGGACACATTTGCACTCCTTCCTGCACATCTGGGAATTTCACCTAAAGACATTTGTGTCACGGCTGTAGAGATGCTACTGGCATCTAGTGGGCACAAGTTCGAGTGCTGCTGTAGTTCAGTGTAGTCTTCACCACAGAGTCATCCAGCTACAGATGTCACTAGTGCAAGACTGAAAGGCCTCACCACACACCCGCCTATGGGCTGGGTGTGCTTTCCACAAGGTAGAATCCTTTCCGCTTTAGTCTCCCCACAGATAAGACAGGCATTTCTCCGTTACTTCTTACAGTGGTATATTGTTTGTGTTTTAATAAATAAAGCTTGCCTGAAGATCAGAGGGCAAAGCAGCTGTACTAATCAGCCATACAGGCCAGGCAGTGGTTACACATACCATTAAATCTCAGCACTCAGGAGGCAGAGGCAGGTGGATCTCTGTGAGTCTGAGGCCAGCCTGGTCTACAAGAGCTAGTTCCAGGACAGGCTCCAAAGCTATAGAGAAACTCTGTCTTGAAAAACCAAAAAAAGAAAAGAAAAAGAAAAAGAGAGAGAGAAAGAAAGAAAGGAAGGAGAGAGGATCTCTCACTAGCCTGGAACTTGCTAAGTAGGCCTAGCTGGCAAGGGAGCACCAAGGGTTCACCTGTCTCTGCTCCCCCAGTGCTGGGTTTATCGGAGCACTCCATCATACTAAAGACCTGGTTCCTGGGGGTCCTCAGACTTGGACAGCAAGCACTTTACTGACTGAGCCAACTCCCTAACCCCTCTTTCACTCTTTTTTGTTTTTACTTGGTATGTTTCTGCTTGTCTATTTTAAAGAATTATTTGTTGTGTGTAAAAATAGCCTTTTACAACCTGCCTTAAATACTGTCTCAGATCATTACATGAGGAGATAAAATAAGTCAAGAATTTGGTACAAAGTTCAAGCTGGCAAAACCTTTCATACAGTCAGCTCTGAGCTGGATAGAGTAGCACATGCCTGTGGTTCTGTTTATTGGGAGGCTGTGGCTGGAGATTTGAGACCAGTCTGGACTACACAGTAGATGCTAGCTCAAAAAAAAAAAAAAATTAATTAATTAATTAATTAAAAAAAATTTTTAAAAAGTAAAAAAGGCTACCCTGACAGGTCACTTATTGTGCCTACAGCATTTTCTCACATACATATATTCATTAAAAAGCAAATGGATGTTGTAGGTGACTGTCGGAGGACTGCATTTATGATGGCATCCAGATGTGCTGGTACTGAGAAAAGAAGATGACTAGAAGGAGCAGAAGGAAGCAGCTCTGCCCTCTGGATGCTGTGCTTTATTACAGTTGCCCAATTTTACCTGTGGATTGCTACGTATGCTACCAACCTAAGCCCTTTATCTATGGCCCGCTCTCCCAGTCCCAGCATCACCTAGTAAGGGGGTGTGACTCCTTCCCTCTGTTAACAACAGCTTGCTCAAGGACGATCGGCAAGCCTGTGGGAGACCGAGGACCTGAAGCCAGGCTGCTGGCCCAGAAACAGCTCTTCAACTTTCTGTCTCCAGCCCTTGTTCAGAAGAAGCTCACTATCATCAGGGAACTTCCCTCCAGAATACAGATCAGGGGCATCTCTTCTCTGTTGTATCTGTGGTACAGGAAAATCTTATGGATTCCCAGATTGCAAAAAGGCAGACTTGGAAGTTGGAGAAAAGTACCAAGACCTGAATTCTGGACTCCTCAAAGGAATCGGCAACCCCGTGGCTAAACTGCAAAGGGAACCCAGTGTGGGCTGCTGCAGTCATACAGGCCATCTATGGTGCCGTGTGGTCAAATCCTTGGCTTGCTTCCTACTGGCTGTTTCACAGAGAACTGAATCTATTTAGAGAAAGTGAAAATGTTACCCTAGAGTTGGTGCGCATCCCAAGGAAGACTCAGTGCTGATGTCCTTGTCCAGCCACCTCCTGACACAATCCTCAGTAATGTCTGGGGCAAAGTGACACTCTGCAGATGACGAGACATGAGGCCAAGATTGGTGGAGGGAAATGGAGTGGCGTTCCATTGGTATTTTAATAAATAAAGCTTGCCTGAAGATCAGAAAAGTACAACAGCCACACTGGCCAGCCTTACAGACCAGGCAGTGATGACATACACCTTTAATCCCAGTAGCCACAATGATACACATCTTTAATCCTAGTAGCCACACTAACTTGTCATAGAAAACAGGTGGTAATGGTGCGCACCCTTAATCCCAGAAGTAGAGAAGATCATAAAACAGGAGGAGACAGATCATAGTCTCAGTCTCATTATTATAAGATTCTTGGAGGCAGGATCACCATTTTCAGACTGAGGTCGAGGTAAGCCAGTAGCTGACTGCTTTGCTTTTTGGATCTTTAGGTCGAACCCCAGTTTCTGTGCATTTTTATTAATCCTGCTTCAGGGAACACGGCAGTTCTACAGAAGTTTGTGGACTGTGGGCTCATCACATTGAAGATCAGTGACCAACTGATGCCAGAGGCCACCAGTGCTCCAGGCTTCTGCCTGCTTCTACTTCTTAGCCTGCTAGCCAGACCATCTCACACAGCATCCTGCCACCTGAGGTCCTTGACATGTCCTGCTCTGCCTTTGCGGACTGGCCCCGCCAAGCATGGATTCTGTCCTAATTTGCTTTCTATTGCTGTAATAAAACATTTAGACCAAAAGCAACTTGGAGAAGAAAGGGGTTTTATTTGGTTCTAATCACAGTCCATCACTGAGGAAAGTCAAGACAAGAACTGAAGCAGAGCATGGAGAAACACTACTTTACTACTTTCTGGCTTGATCTCCAGGCTCAGCTTGCTGTCTTATACCTCCCAGGACCACCTGTTCAGGGATGGTACTACCCACAGCAGGCTGGACCCTCCCACATCAATTATTAGTCAAGAAAATATCCCATGGACATGCCTTCAGGCCAATCTGATGGAGCCCTTTTCTCACTGAGGTTCCCTCTTCCCAATGACCCTAGTTTGTGTCAAGCTGAAAACAAACAAGCATCACCACAGGATTTTAGGCAGCACTTTGCCCTATGTGATACATTCTTCATAGCAGTAGGACTATCCTAGGGTAGCTGTGTGCTGTCAGCCACAGGTAGGTAAGTCCATCTAACTAGAGCATACAAGACCAGCTTTCCCAGTGAGGGGGACAAGTGAGTAGCCATGTGTGTTAGTTCAGGACCGTCTGCCCTCCTGTCTTGAGTGGTGGATGAGCAGAGGTAGCAGAGCAACCAGATCAGAAGGAAGCTGTTGGGTATACTGAACAAGAAACAATGCTGGAAGCTGCTCTCTGGGGCCCATGGTCCCAAGGAAGGAGTAGGGACTTCTGCGACTGGTTTACACATGCTTGTTTCCTTACTCGTGGGAAGTGTCCATACAGCTACTGATGGGAGAGAAGAGCGCAAAGTCAAGTTCTGCTCAGGGCCTGACCTCCAGTGAGTTTCCCAAGGCTGAAGAAAAGCCTGTGGTAATTTTCCAGGCCTCTCACAGCCCTTCCCAGGAGATACACCCACAGGACAATGGCCTCTCTTCATTTCCCCAGCATTTTCCTGGGCATCTTTATAACATAGCCAAGAATTCTTGTTTCTGGGAAACAAGTCATGGAAAGATGAGGACTTCCACTAGCCAGGCACAAAGCCTGTGCTGGGGAAACAGGCAGGGTGAGTGTCACCCATCAGAGGACTTCCTAGGCTCATGGTCTTGGACAGCATCCCTCCTATGAGAAGGTCCCTGATGACTCTATTGAAGCTTCCTTCTTCTATAATGTTTATTGCTTTGTAAAAATTGAGTATTTTCCACACCTCTTCCATCATCTGCTCTCTGTATGAGATCGTTGAAGAGGGGTTGGGTCCACAGTCCCACAAGGAAGGTAGACAGGAAAGGCAGCTTTCTTTTTTATAATTTTATTTTTTATGTGTATATGAGTGTACCTCAGTGTAGGTATGCACATTGCATTCGTACAGGAGCCCACAGAGGTCAGAGAACGCACCGGATCCCCTGACACTGGAATTACAGATGGTTGTAAGCTGCCATCTGGGTACTGGGGCCTAGTCCTTTGGAAGAGCATCCAATATCTTACCCTTACGTCACCATTCCAGTCCCATAAAGGCTGCTTGTGTGTCCAGCTGCCCACCTGCCTCTTCTACACACAGAAGTTTCAACCAGGCTGCAGTGTGCTCAGTCTGATTGGCTGAACCCTGGCCAATGATGTATAAGTAGATTCTGGGAAATGTTTGTCTAGAATTCTCCAAGTCTTTGGCAGGAAGGCCGCCCTCCACTTTGCTTCCTATTTTGCACATATACAGTAAGGGTTATGCAGCTGGGAAGTAAGTCATCCTCCTGAGAAGAGCCGGGAAGGCAGAGGGCCACCCGTCTTAGTTCTTTTTCTATTGCTGTGATAAGACACCATGGGAAATTGTAAATGACAAAGGTTACTTGGGGTTTACAGTGTCAGAGAGTTAGAGTGTGACCTTCATAATGTGGAGCATGACAGCAAGCAGGAAGGTCTGGCACTGGGGCAGCAGCCGAGAGCTCACATCTTGAGACACAACCGCGAGACAGAGACACACACACTGAGAATGGTGGACGTCTTTGAAGTTTCAAAGCCCTCTTTGAAGTTTCAGAGTGGCACAGCTTCTCCAGCAGGCCACACCCCCTACTCCTCTCCCAAGCAGCTCCGCCAACTGCAGACCAAGTCTTTAAATATATGAGTCTATGGGGCCGTTCCCATCCAAACCATCACACCAACCCAGCCCTGGCAGGGTCTGTGGTAGCACATCTTGATTCTGTATTGCTTTGCTTTGTGACGTTAATACTCTGTTGTCATTCAAACATTGTACAGGGAAGACAATTCATCTCATCATGTCACTAAAGTTAAGAAAACTTAGCCAGGCATAGTGGCACACACCTTTAATCCCAGCACTCAGGAAGCAGAGGCAGGTGGATCTCTGTGAGTACCAGGCCAGTCTGGTCTACAAAGTGAGTTTCAGGACAACCAGAACTATCTTGCAAGACCCTTTCTCAAAAATGGGAAAAAAGAAAAGAAAGCCTACTAAAGACGAGGACAGAGGGCATGCCCATGGGGACAGTGAAGACCACAGAAGTAGATTGTCAGCTCAAGTGGGAGATATCAAATGCTGGTGTCCATTTAACTTTAGCTTTACATGAATGAAAATTTTCTCTGCCATTCATCCCAGCAGTTGTTACCACAGCAACAGACACTCTGACCTCCTGTTGAAATACAATGATTCCTAGGATAGTATTATTAGAGCCTTTAGTATTTTAGGAAAACTCTTTGTACATAGATTTAGAAACATTTTTTTGTAAGAACAGGAGTAAGCATGGCTTTACTGCGACTTAACAAGCTTGTATATATTTGCTAATTTCTCTTTATCCCCAAATGGCTGGCTCAGGGTTTGTCTTCCTAAGCTTGGAAGACACCATTGACCTCATTTTCACTTTCCTCTACCCTTGGGCTCCATCATCATTTTCCCAAGTGTGTTTGGAACGAATTTTCTCTCTGTTCTTTGTCCTCAGTAGATCCCTGCATCTCTCTCTCCTCCTGACTCTTCTACTCTAGAAATTTCCCAACCAGTTTTCCTGTATCCATGGTCATACTTCTGGAAGCAGCCATCAGCAGACTTTGTATGGTATAAATGTAATCCTGGCCTCACCATCTTTAAACCAGTCAGTGGATTCTCCTTGAACTCAGAAAAAGATCTTGCATCTGTCGTGTGGAATATTTGTCTCCTACTGCTTCCTAACAAATTATCACAAACTTCGATGAACATGCTTGTATAATTTTATAGCTTCCATGGATCCAAATTGGGAAAGGCTAAATTGGTTGTGAATTTACATCCCACAAGGGTTTCATCAAGTAGTTGACAAGAGTCATTACCTCATCTGAGATCTGCAGTTTGGGGCAGGTCCTCAATCCTTAACAGCTCCGGATGTAATTTCTTCAATATTACAAAAAATTCTGTTTGTTTTGAGACATAATATTACCATGTATCCTTGACTAGCTTGTAAAGTCCTATGCTATTTGCCCAAAACCTACAGAGATCACCCTGCCTCTACATCCTGAATGCTGGGACTAAATCATGAGCCACCACATTCAGCATGACTACATTTTGAAGATATGCTTGTTTCTCTCAGTCTGTCAGGCTATAAAACAATGACCCAAAGCAACTTAAAAAGTTTCTGCACCCCAACCAGGCTCTCTGCTGATGCAATAATCCATATCAGACCAAATCAAACCGAATTAGAAAAAGCCCAGGTTGAATGGACACAATACTCCCAGATGATTTGCCAGTCCTACAGAGAGGAGACTGGAAAGAAAGACTTAAAAACCACTCATTTGTTTTCTGGGGGAAGTTTAAGTGCCCTGTGGGAGTGGTCTTGAACATCTCTGGGAGAGAGGTCATCATTTGATGGGTTTTCTGAAATGCAGCAGGGTTTGGAGAAAGATTGGGGAAGGGGCTTGTGATTGAGCTTCAACTGAACAAAACTGACATTGTCTCATAAACCTCATGGTGAGAGAAAAGACTGAAGCCTGGCACTAGTCAGAGGGGGAGCTCATTCCCAGAAAGGATTTTACAGGGTTCTAAGTTGTCAGACCATCATGCAGGATAAGCCTGACACTCAGGCAATGATGAGTCAGTGGAGAACTGGGCCACATCCTAACTTCTGCTGCTTAGACTGCAATCCTGTCCCTCTATTTAAACTTTATTTTACATGTATTGGTGTTTTGCTGGCATATATCTCTGTGCAAGGATGCCAGATTCCCTGGAACTGGAGCAATAGACAGTTACAAGCTGCCATGTGCTTGCTGGGAATCGAACCCTGGTCCTCTGGAAGTACTCTTAACTGCTGAGTCATCACTCCAGGCCTCTGTTTAAACTTTAATGTCACTTCAAGACACTGAATATGAACTAGAGTGGGGGCTTTTGTTGTCTCTTTTCTCAAAATGGCACATTGTATAAATTTTTTCTGCCTTTTGCTATTAATTTGATCATTTTAATTAACTTTCTAGTACCAGTAGCCAAACTTAGACTTCACAGATTATGACCCTGAGTTTGGTAACAGAAGGTCCTGGTCACATTGACATTCACGAGGGAAGAAGCAGTTGGAGACTTTCCCTGCTTTCCCAGGACCCTCCTGACCCCAGTTAGCCATTCCACATACACAGGGTTCCGGGTGCCACAGACTTCTGGCTGCTAAAGGTCCTGCTATTGTTTTTGCTCAATTCCCAGTGATCACTGAGGTTCAAAGGAGAAGATGAGCAAACCGTCTCCAAGGGAGACTTCCAGTGTTCACAGACGTGGAAAAATCATTGGCAACTTTTCCTCTAAATGTACTTCTGTCTCCATTACCCTTCCTCAAGCTCCCAGTCATGTGTGGGACAGGGAGGCCCAGATGTTGAGAGCCAGCTGTCAGCCAACAAGGTCTCCTGTTCTCCCTCAGCTCGCCAGGAGCTCTCATAGCTCTGCAGGTGGAGCCCAGGTCCCAGAACTGTGGAAAGGTAGCTCCCTGGGGCCCTAAGTCTCACCTGGTTACTAGCTTATCTCCGAAGTCACTGCCATCTTTGACTTTTAAGAGTCCTTTGTCCCAGGAATGGCTAGTAACACTGTCCAGACATGGTTTGGCTAAATCTGTGAGTTCATCAAGAGCTAACGGGTACATGGGCTCATTCATTCCACTCACATTCTGTTGGCCAAACTAGTTCATGTGATAACATCTACTTTCCTTTAGGAGGGCAAGGAAATGCAGCCCTGCTCAGGATGAGAGGAAGAGAAATCTGTGTCCAAGACTAAAGCTGTCGCAGGGTTTGTGAGAAGCTCCCTCACAGGCCTTGTGGGAACCGCTACACTTCACCTAAGCTCACAGACTCAGATGACTGCGGAAACAGAAAAGTAGATTTGTTCAGTGGGATTTCTTCTTAGGAAAAACGCACTGTCTTCCATTGATCAGTATAGCTTTTCTCCTTTTAAAACATTGCAACTTGGAACAGGAGCGATGGCTCAGGGGTTAGCAGAACTCAGCTGCTCTTCCAGAGGATATGAATTCAGTTCCTAGAACCACATTTGGTGGTGCTCAACTGTGTGTAACTCTAGCTCCAAGGGATCTGATGCCTTCCTCCGGCCCCCAAAGGCAAACACACATGTACGGTGCGTGCATATACGTGCGCACATACAGAGACAGACAGAGGAGACAGAAACACACAGAGATACACATACACAAGGATTAAATATTTTTAAACTTTTTTTAAAAAGGAAAGTAAAAATTCAACTGTCCTGGCTAGTTTTATGTCAACTTGACTGGTGTGGGAGAATTGTCTGTATTCTGTCAATCATATTTTAATAAAATGCTGATTGGCCAGTCAGGCAGTATAGGCGGGAAAGCCAGACAGGAAGTAGGGGTGGAGCAAAGAGACTGGGAGTATTCTGGAAGCAGAAGCTCCCTCAGACACTCTGCGCAGACCACTGAAGAGGCAGCATGTAACTTGCCCAGCTGAGAAAGGTACGGAGCCATGTGCTAATGTAGATAAGGATAATGGGGTAACATAAGTTACAAGGACTAATAAGGAGCCTGACCTAATGGGCCAATCAGTTTATAACCTTATGGAGTCCTATGTGTGATTTCTCTTTGGGATTTGCCGGTTGTGGGGTACCGGGTGGGACAGAAACCCCAACAAGCCGCCCCTCATGTAACACTTGACTCAATTTAGCATCATTTGGGAGGAGGGAACCTCAATTAAGCAAGCACCTCTATAAAATCAGGCTGTATGCAAGTAATAGGACATTGTCTTAATTAGTGATTGATAGGAGGGCCCAGCTCACTGTGGAAGTGGATGCCCTGGTCTGGTGGCCCTAGGTTCTCTAAGAAAGCTAGCAAGCCATGAGGAGTAAGCCAGTAACCAGTCCCCCTCCATGGCCTCTGCACCAGTTCCTGCCTCTAGGTTCCTGCCCTGTTTGAGTTCCTACCCTGAATGTCTTCTATGCTGAAGTCAGGTGAAAGGAAGAATAAGTAAAACAAATCCTCTTCTCCCCACCTTGCTTGTGGTCATGGCATTTCATCACAGCAACTGAAAACCTAACTAAGACACCAACTTAAAACTTTTTCATTCCTCGTTTATGGTATAAATATTTAATATCTAATGTTTAACTATGCTCAATTTTGTCGGGGCAGAATGAAAAGCACCAAATCTTTGGTTCCTAAGGGGCTGTACTAGTTTTTATTGTTATGACAAAATTCCTGCCATAAACAACAAACAAAGGATGTTGGGATGATTAATCTTAATTGCCGGCTTAACTGGATTTAGAGTTCCTCCAGAATAGAGTTCTTTTCACTTATACCCTTTCACCTTAGAAATTTTAGATGACCTCAAGAACACAGATTTAGAAAAAAAAAGGTATGCAAATCAAACATTTGTTGATAACAAATCAGAAGAAAATTTATTTTAAAACAATCATCTTTGGGTGGGGGAGATGTCCCAGTAGGTAAAGTGGTTGCTGGTACAAATATGAGGACCCGAGCTGGACCCCCAGAACCCACATGAAAGTCAGAGGTGCCAACACGAATCTGTGACCTTACTTGTGTGGGGGGAAGAGACAGGTAGATCCAGGGGCTTGCTGGCCAGTCAGTCCAGCCAACCATCTGAAACAGCGAGCTGAACATTCAATGAGAACTCCTATCTTAAAAAAATGGTTTTATTTTATTATGTGCATGGATGTGTTTGCCTGTGTGCATGTATGTGCACCATATACATGCCTGGTGCCCAAGGAAGCCACAAGAGGGCACTTGATATCCTGGAACTGGAGTTACAGGTGGTTCTGAGTGGATATGTGGGTGGCGGGACTCAAACCCAGATCTTCTGTAAGAGCAGCCAGTCCTGAGCCACTCTCCAGCCCAGGAGAGTCCCTGTCTTTAAAAAAGTCAAGGTGAAGAGTGAGTGAGAAAGATAGATACCCAACGTCAGCTTCTGGCTTCCGCATGTGCATGCATGGGTGAGCACATCCGCAATACATGCAAACACATGCATGCACACATACACACACAAAGAAAGCAGAGCCATGATTTTATATACATATAATTCTATCATTTATTATGAATAAAGGTAAATTTTCATTCTGAGATGGTTATGATTATTTTTAGAAACAATTAAATCTTTGATGGATATGTGATACTCTAAGACATAAAAGATCCTTGACTTTCTTCAGGTGATCAATATTTTGATTTTTAAGCTATTTTTATTTAGGTGTCTGTGTGTGTGTGCGCGCTATGCATGTGCAGTTGTTTGCAGAAGCCAGGGGGTGCCAGATCCCCTTGAACTGAAGTCACAGGCAACTGTAAGCTGCCCAATGTGGGTGCTGGATCTGAACTCAAGTCCTCTGGAAGAGCAGCAAGTGCTTTTAACCTCTGAGCCATCTCTCCAGACGCAACATTTTGATTGTTAAGTTGTCAGTGTTGATTCTGATTTTGCTTCTTTCTGTAAACACCACAAAACAGAAAGAGTATATTTAGGGCCATTTCAGAAATTATTGAAAAGTGTGTCTTAATCCAAAATTCACTTCATAAAAACTTTTTGTGAATCTCAAATCAGCATCTCAAAAGTTGGGGATTTAGTGTGCTTGGTTTTGGTCCCCAGCATTCAAAGTAACAAAATCAAGTGGCTGGAACCTCCAGTTCACTCCTGCTTGATCCGGAAAGCCCCATTCCTCTTTCTCAAACCCTGCCCTCTCAGAGAATCTCCAACAAAGAAAAGGCACCAAAAAGCCCAGCTTCACATCCTCTTGTGGCTGTGGCAGCCTCCTCCCTGAAGTTGCCAGCAGTCCAAGTCCCTGCTTAAAGTGCTCAACTTTTGATCATACTCGGCTACAACCCCAACCTGTAGTGAGCACACCATCACCTCTCACCTACAGGCTATATAAGCTCCCTGCTTTAGTTCGGACGTGTGACTTCTCCCGCCTTGATCTCTGGGGCTGCCTTGATCATCCGGAAGTTGCTTTGCTCTCATAAACCTGTTCTTTTACTTTTTTCAATTCAACTTGATTTAGCTAACTTTGTTGGTGGAGAAACCTATTATTGTGTTACAGAAAACCTATTAAGTAACTCAGTTTTTGCTTATCAATTTTTCAAAATCAAACATTCTAACTCAATGCAATGCCAAGGTACACTAACTTCGTAATTCCATGGTGAAGAAAGATGGACAATGCTAAGAACCTTTGTTTTTCTATAATTAAACTATTATATGTCTATAAAAGCAGAAAACTTTGTATTTAGTAGTAAAAATACCACAGTTTGGTAGAATGTTTGCACAGTATGCACGAAGCCTTGGGTTCTGGCACTCTATGAAGTAGGCATGAATGTACATGCCTACAATCTCAACCGTGGGTGGGGGAGGCAGAAGACTAGGAGTTCAAAGTCATTCTCATGCACATATTAGGATCAGCATGGGATACATAATATCTCAGACATATATGCACACACATGCTCAGTGTATAACATGAGGAGTACTCTCTCAAGCACCTCAGATTCCTCGTGTTGCCTTTCAAATTTTTATTTTGTGTTCACAAATTTTTTACCATTGACTAACTCATGACCTCATGACAGACTTGCAAGCATCTATTTCAAAAGCTGTGGCCTTTGGGACACGGCTCCAGGCATGTGTGTCACAGTGTTTCCAGAGAGTTTTAACTCAGAAAGGAAAACCTGCTGTAAATGTTTGTGGCGCTATCCCATGGACTGGGGGTGGGGGTGATGGGTCAGACTGAATAAAAGAGAGAAAAGGAGAAAAAGAGGATTCCTGGCTCTCTGCTTCCTCATGCTATGAGCTGTGAGGAAAAAGGCCCTAGCCCCCACCATCACACCCTGCTGTCTTCCTCTACTTGATGGATCTTCTTTCTTATAGAGCCCAGGACCACCAGCCCAGGAGCAGCCCCACCCACAATGGGCTGGGCCCTTTCCCATGAATCACAATTAGGAAAATGCCTTACCCTTACAGGCTTGTCTACTGCCCAGTCTTATGGAGGCATTTTCTCAATGCCTTCCCCTTGATGGGCTGTACTCTTCATACTCTGAGCCAAAATAAACTCCTAGCCTAAGATGCTGTTGGTCATAGCTCTTCTAAAAGTAACTTTTTTTTCTTTTTCATAAACTTTTTAATTCTTTGGGAATTTCACATCATGCACCTAGATCCAACACCTACCAGTCCTTCCATGTCTACCCTCTACCTTTGTAATCCCCACAAAGGAATTTTTTTAAAAAAATTAAAATTTAAAAAAGAAAAGAAAAAGAAAAAATCTTGCTGATCCCCCCGCTTGGGCAATGACTTACTTTTCCATCAGCTGCAGATGCAGAGTTCTCTCTAACACCCATCACAGCTGTCTTATCTTCAGTTCTGCTCTGTGTGTGTGTGTGTGTGTGTGTGTGCTACGTTGCTCCTCCTTTCCTGCTCTCCATCACACATCTGTTCACTATGGAACCTTGGCGTGTCACGCAGTAGATCCTTTTGCCCAAACAACCTTGCCCATAAACATCTACTGCAATGACTCAGGGTTCCACTACAGCATCAACACTGGATCCTCACTGAGACTCCTCTCTACCATCCTGCTGTTGCCTAGAGTCATGGAGATCCTGCAGTTACGGTTTCTCCGGCTCTCCCATGCCAGTGCCATCAGTGCCCTGTGACCAGTGAGGGCCACCCCTTGCTCAGGGTGCGAGGGGAAATGGGGAGTGGGAGGAGATTGGCAGAGTCAGCTCCCCCCAGCCCACACAATGGGGCCAGCTCTCCTGTGGCCATGCCATACCAGTATACTATATCACCCCACAGCCATACCAGCTGTGTGGCAGTTGGTAAGAGACAGGGTAACTCTCCCACTACTGATGAGGGGCAGGGCCTGCTCAGCACTGCCCTCAGACATCAACACGGCCTCAGGCAGCAACCCAGGCCACAGGCATCCACACGACTACAGGTGATAATACGGACAACAGTCATGGATGTTCTTCCGCCCAACCAGTGCTGTGTGGCAGAGAGCCAGGGCTCTAAACATAGACTTACTTTGGCTTACTACTCCAGAAATTTCAGCCGGGTGCTTGCCTCCATTGATTCTAGATCTACAGTAAGGCAGAATACCATGGTGCTAGCGATATGAGGATGAGGTTTCTCACCTGCAATGGACAGGAAACAGGAAGGGACCCAGAACCAGCTATAACTGTCTAAAGCACACCCCTAAGGACCTCCTTCCTCAAGCCCTACCTCTGGAAATAGCATCACTAGGTAGAGTCCAGGTATTGAACATTTGAGCCTCTGGGGAACATGACCTGTTCAAACCATAAAAATAGGCATGTATAATCAATTGCCAAAAAAATTATTGTACCAATCAATTGCACAGTATTCGGATTTGCTGTATTGAAGCACAAGGCCCTTGTTATATACGATTTTGGTTGCTATAATCAAAGTAATCAACTGAAGATTGAATGATTAAAAGTATTGTGTGAGAAGGGACTCAATGTCTGTCCAGTGAGGATCTGATTCATCAGGAAAGGTAGTTTCTGGAAAGTTGAGCTGGGAACTGATTGCAGATGTAATGGTTGTCCCTTTAAGAGACAAGCCACACTGACTGCCTCCCCCATCCACTGAGGCAAGCTGATCTTCAGCTTCCAGCCTGGGTCCCTTACTTTTCTGTCTCCCTCTCGAAGAGGCAGCTTCTGCCTATTCTTTCTCCCCACTTCTCCTCTTCCCCCTCTCTGTTTCTCTCTCTCTCTCTCCTCTTCTCCCCTTTCCCCCTCCATAGCCCACTAAGTAAATATCCAACCTCACTCTGCATGGCATGCCTATCCATGTCTCTGGCTCTTACCTGCCACGTGACATTCCTGCTCAGGACCAGCCACCTTCAGAGACCTGTGGCATGGTCTCATGGCATGTCCATCCGTCTGTCTCTCCTCATGGGACTGGCTGCCCCATCAAGGTCTCTCACCCACCACGCGGCTTCCTGCCTAGGACTTGTGGCCTGCTGCAGCCACTTGGGGAACTGTGCCATCCCTGCCTAGGACTGGCTGCTCGCAGGACCCGCTATCCACTGCCTGGCACAACTTCAGGGACCTGCAGCATGGTCTCATGGCCTGCTGCCTGCTGCAGCCACTCAGGGATCCACATCATTTTACTTAAACCATAGCAGTATATACTTTTAAGTATCTTACAAAAATACTTTATATTTAATCCAACCCTGCTTTACCTGTTAAGTTGAAAGCCAGTACAGTCAAGCTTGGACCCAGCTCTCCAGGCAGATTCTATACTGTAGTTATACCTGATAAACAGCCCTCAACTGCTCAAAGATCTGGGGAATATGGCATTTAAATATTTAATTATTAAACGACTTTTTTTATATAACAAAAAGAGACAGGTTGGCTCCTAGCAGCAGCACTCTACTTCCTCCAAAGAAGACAGAAGACAAATGGGCACAGAACAATACCCATCTGCAATTTGCTTCAACTGCCAAGTGCTGACCACTGGGAAAAACTGCCTTTCATCTAAACTGAAGATCTCCAGATGTGGACAGAATTGCTGGAATCAACAGCCTAACTGCTCAGGTCAAGGTAGGCTTGTCTTCCTACAGATTCCTTAGCCCACAGGATCTTCTGGAGCCAGGAAAGCCCTGCACTAAACAGTAAAAGGTAAATACAACCCTCAGCGACCATGGAGGACCCTGAGGAGTAGCTCTAGGTGCCAACCAAGTAAGTTCTCTGTAGTTTTTTAATCAATAACTCAAGTAAAATTTTATCCTTCTCAAAGATCTCTGATGTGGTTTGACAGCTGAGAAGTTTTGTCAGTTTAAAAGGACAGTCTCACCAAGCAAATTTCAGTAAAATACAAATACAAGACCTGCAAGCTATAAAGGTGTGAAGACAAATACAAGTTGTCAAATTTCTCTCTCACCCTGCCTTCCATAGTCTTAAAATACTTTTCATTGTGCAAAAATATATGTCACAGTCATTCTGACATAAATATGCTACTGTTTATACAACGTATATGTCTAAAACTTCTGTTTTCACAAACCAAAAGAATTCTTGTGAGGTCCAGGGAGCCAACTTGAAGAGTCCACCTTAAACAGGTCAGATACACCACGTTCAATTTCCTGGTCCAAATTTTTTTTTACTAAACTTAACTTTGTCCTCTGTACTGACAATATCTTAAACAGGTGTAAGAAACACCAGACATTTCCATACCACAAACACCAGACAGGAACAAACAGACCAGATATGCCAGGACGTGACTAGAACCCAGCCTTCTCAGGTTCCCCCTAAGACGACACCCACAAATAAGCAGGAAGCAGTCTTGAGAATCTGCTGCCCCAATTCCTTTACCCTGTTGTGCCTAACCTCTCGTCTTTTTATTATAAAAAAGAGATGGGAATGTAATGGTCTGCTCTGTCCCTTTAAGAAACAAGCCACCCCCTCTCCCTCTCCTGTCCACTGAGGCAAGCTGATCTTCAGCTTCCAGCCTGAGTCCCTTCCTTTTCTGTCTCCCTCTTGAAGAGACAGCTTCTGTCCATCCCTTCTCCCCACTTCTCTTCTTCCCCCTCTCTGTTTCTCTCTGTGTGTTTCTCTCTCTCTCTCTCTCTCTCTCTCTCTGTTTCTCTGTTTCTCTCTCTCCCTCTCTGTCTGCTTCTCTCTGCTCTTCTCTCCTCCCCTTTCCCCTCCATAACCCATTAAATAAATATCTAACCTCACTCTGCCTAGGACCAGCCACCTTTGGAGACCTGCAGTGTGGTCTCATGGCATGCCCATCTGTCTGTCTCTCCTCATGGGACTGGCTGCCCCATCGAGGTCTCTCACCCACCATATGGCTCCCTGCCTGGGACTCGTGGTCTGCTGCAGCTACTTGGGGAACTGTGCCATCTCTGCCTAGGACTGGCTGCTCTCAGGACCCACAGCCTGCTGCCTGCCACCACTTTGGGGACCTGCAATGTGGTCTCATGGTCTGCTGCCTGCTGCAGCAACTCGGGGATCCATAGTATTTTACTTTTACCGTTACAGCAGAGACCTTGAATATAGGTTTGAATTGTTGAGTTGCCTGTGTGGGGAGCTGCAGAATGCTTCTGTAAGGGGTCTGACTTGCCCAGGTTAAGCCAAGCCTTGATGAATTTGACAGAGATCTGTGAAACAGACAGAACAAGAGCCAGAGTCATATCCCTAGGTTAAATATATCAGAACCGAAAGCGAAACACACGGAACCAAACTAGAAAAAAAGAAAAGAAAAAGACAGGAATTTTGGTGGCTAATCCTATGAATAGGTTGGAGATGGGGGTAGGGGATTCAATTGCATCCTTTAACTGGGCATGTTGGTTCATGCCTGTAATCCCAGCACTAGTAAAACCAACATAGGAGGACAGCCATGAGTTTGAGGCCAGCCTGGACTATGGAGTGAGACCCTGTCTCCAAAACAACCAAACAAAATCCAATAACAGCAACAACAAAATACAAATAAGTTGTATGGACACTGTGTACCAAAGAGGAGAATTTGGGAGTATATGTATACATATCGTCATATTCTCCCAGGAAAGTGGAACATTTCTTCTCAAAGAAGTAATTGTTGTACAGGGTTGGAGAAAAGGTTTAGCAGTTAAGTGTGCTTTCTGCTCTTCCAGAAGACCAAGTTCCTTTACCAGCACCCAAGGTGAGCAGCTCACCACTGCCTTTAACTCTCAAGCTCCACAATCTCCAACACTGTTCTGGTCTCCATGGGCACCTGTACACACATGTGGTACACACACACACACACACACACACACTCACTCACACTACATAAAACTACATAAAAATAATTTTTTCCTTTTTTGGTTTTTCAAGACAGGTTTTCATTTTTTTAAAAAATTGTTGTTGTTTTTGAGACAGGGTTTGTGTACCCTTGGCTGTCCTGGAACTAGCTTTGTAAACCAGGCTGGCCTCGAACTCACAAAGATTCACCTGCCTCTGCGCTGTGAGTGTTGGGATTTAAGGCATGTGCCACCACTGCAAGCCATAAAAATAAAAAATTTAAAAAGTAGTTCTACCCAGAAATAATGTATTATTTCTCACTTCTAGCAAAATTCTGGGTACCTTCCCAGATCCGGTTTTCTTATTTCTCATACTTGACTTCAGAACTCCTAACTTTCATCCATACCCTTCAGATGCCGAGTGGGGATGGGACAGGAGGACAAAGCTGTCACCCTCCGTGATCTCCTTAGAGTAGAAGGCCAGCAGAAGAAAGATAGCAAGTCTAAGGTGAAGGTGTGGGCAGGATGAACAGCAGGTTCCAGGACAGCGACAGTGGAGAGCTCTGGCCCCTCTAAGGGTCAAGGGGATGTGGTGACAGCGTGGTGACAGACAGGCACCCAGAGACAGCTGCAGCTGGAGGAGGGAATGGCCTGAACGCTGCTGCAGTCTTAGCTGAGGAATGTGACAGTCGGGTGTCAACTCACCTGCCACAGGCTAAAGTTTCTGGATCTTTGCTTCCTGCTAGGGCTCACAGTGGGAGGAACCCATGTGAACCCCGAATGTGAAGGGGCTTAGTGGGCATGGCTCCTTCAAGTCTCCAGGGACAGAGCAAAGCGATGTAGAGAGAAGAAGGGGCCTTTGGGGACAAAGGGAACATTCAGCTGGTGGCTACCGATCACAGGAGCACAGACAGGTACCACGAACCTGGCCTGGGCTTCCTTGGCTCTGCCGCTAACCAGACTGTAGGTCTGAGATCAAACTCGGAGTAGAACCCGCTGACACAGAGCAAAATGAAAGCAACTAAGTTCTCTGCCTCCCGGCTCCAGGTCTCCTGAAGCCATACCATAGCTTGCTTTCATAAAATCCAGAAACCATAGAGAAAAGAAAAGAGAAATCCCTCTTTGGGAAGACAGTCTAGGAAGTTCCTGTTTCTTATAACTAAGAAACTTCAGGAGGCGCATTCCGCCTTTTCAAGACAAGGCTCAGGCAGTGTAGCCTGGAATTCCAGTACTTGGAAGACCAAGGCAGCAACACCTCCCACACCGCCACATCATAAACAACTGAAAAGAGAAGCAAAGGGCCAATGAGACAGCTCAACAGGTAAAGGCCAAACCTAAGGGTGCCAGTTCTACCCCCAGGGCCTACTTGGTAGAAAGAAAGAACTGACTCTTGCAAGTTGTCCTCTGACCTACACCTACACAATAAATTTAATAAAAATATAAATAAATTAATAAGCAAAGGATTCAGGATCTAAGCAAGACGCAGCTGTCTCTTCCCTGAGGGAGCCGGCATTCCCAGGAGGGCTGCTTAACTCCGGCACTGTGGAGTTTTCTAGGACTCCCTAAGCCTGATAAAAGCAGTTTCAAAAACCTGAAGGAACTCCACCCTAAACCTAAGTGCTCAGCAGGGAAAGGAGCCTCTCTGCCAACTGAGGAACTGGCATGCACGGCTAGCTCAAGCCTAAATATTACACAGTGGCCAAGAGGGAGACCAACCTTAGACTTACAAAACCGCAGTTGGGTCCTTCCAAGCACTCCTAGGAGAGATGTGTATTTTGAAAATATTACAATCCTTTGCTAAATATCAAGGTCAGGGCTGGCAGTGCTCTCTGCTCCTGGCACAGTCTGTCCTTCCAGCCTCCGTGGGAGGCTGAACAGGGAGCGAGATTGGCCTTGAGTACCTCAGCCCTAGGAAGGGGTGGGCTCTCCAGCTTCCCCTCCCAGGGCCCCCAGGCCCACACCCTGTCAATTTCCCCTCCTCAGAGCAGGAAGGTGAGGTGAGGTAATGTCTCTGGAACCCCACAGTGGCAAGAAGATGAGAAGAATCCGAGAAATGCTGTGTTTAATTTAAAGCAGACCCAGCCTGCCGCCAGGCTGCAATTTCACTCAGAATAACCAGTTTGTTTTTCTTGGACATTCCAGGAACCCAGTGGCCACCCCATGTCAAAGCCGAGCAGAAATGCTCACAGGACCCCTTGCTGCTCAGGCCCTACCGATTGCTTTCTCCTCCCTCTGGCCGGGCACAACTTTGGGATAGAGTCATGGTCACTCTGGGTGTCATCTGTGGGGCATTCTTAGCCTGAGAACTCCTTACCTATGCGCCTGGCTTTGTGAGCTGAGCTGACAATAACAGCAGCATGGTCTGTTTATCCCATGTATTCTGTATAGCCTGGAGTCGGGCTAACCTCTCGAGTCCCTGCCTGTTAGATCCTTCCAGCATCCTAGGAAAGCAGGAAGATTTTTATTACTCTCTTTCTACAGTGGGTGAGATTAAGGCAAAGAGTGGTTACATAACCCATCCCTGGTCACCCATCTAGGGTTTGCGCTCCCGCAGCTCCAGTCTAAACTTGGTCGTCCATCAGCAAGCCGCTCCCTCCCTTGCTTGCAAAGCATCAAGGCCCTTATTTGAATGGCTTCTTGTGTGATATCTAGGTGCACACTGGTATGTGTGAGAGGAGTAGTCTGGGGGATGGGCCCACGGCAACTGACGGAAAATGGGGTGCTAGTCACAAGTTCTTTCTAGCTGGGAACCCCACATCTTGGGTGAGGGCTTCCAGTCCCTGTGGGGTTTTGCTGCTTCCAGGGATCTGTTGAACTCCTGTCTATAATCACTGTATGACTTAAAGAAAGAAGTAGCTTGCGTCGGGCAATAGCACCAGGGAGACTGGAGGCCCTGTGTGCAAGGCCTGACCTTCATTGTGGGCAGCACCCCATCTCCTTTCTGCAGAACCTCGTTTATCTATAACACCATCTTTGTCTTGGGGAAGAGAGGGAGGGAAGAACGTACATGGCTCTTATGCCTTGGGCCTCAGGTGGCCCTGACATTCTCTGATTTTATTCTGTATCTGGGTTTCTGCATCTAGACCCTGGCTCAAGCAAATGTGGGGGAGACTTAGGGAGCCAGGCATGGGCAGAGAGTGACTTCTGGAGAAGTTACCAGAACTTAAAAGAAAAGTGCATGGTGGAGCCCTGTAGTGAGAACCAGGACTAGGTGTCTTGACTAGTCAGGCCTAGTCAGAGCTTGGCCTGTCACTGAGGGTGGCCCAAGCCGCAGGAGGTTGCCCTTCAGGAGCAGTTTCTGCCTTCCAGCTTTTGAAGGCAAACAGGCAGGGAAGGGGCACTTCCGGTGCCTGTCCCCATGTGCCTCTGTTGTCAGGACTCAGAACAACCAAAAAGCCAGCTGTGGTGCTCACTTCTGGAGTCACTTGTGACTCAGTGAGGACCGGGCAGGAGCCTGGGATGACAAGATCCAGGGTAGTAGAGTCTGACACAAGCAAACCCGGTTTTGGCTCCCCCTACCTGAGTCATCAAGAGGAACCTCAGGCTAAGAAGTGGGAGCTTTTGGAGAGAAACTGGCTCAGGGCACAAAGGGTTTAGTGTGGGAGGACTCTGCTCCCAAGAGATGTTTCCATGGCACCCACAAATGTCAATGGTCACATTGTGTGGGAGTTCTTGGGTCCAACCTCTCCCCTGGGGAGGAAAGACAGTGTGTAGGAGGGAGTCATGCTCTCTGGTCCCAGAAATATCCCCTGGCACCATGCTGTGGGTGACAGGCAGGGGATGGGAGCCTACCCAGCACCCTTCCTCCGCTGCAGACAAGTTCCTAGGACAAGGCTTCTTGAGACTAGGGCCCAAGTCATCCAGTCCTCCCGTCCTGGGGGCGCTCATTGCTGGAGGGGACAGAAAGCTGAGACGCGCCCTTTTTGTGTACTTTTTCCAAACCTAAGCCAGTAAATCAGTTCTCCCTCCGCTGACGCATCCACAGGAACTGTGGGTTTTGGTGCCAAGTTTGAAGAAATGGGAGGCCACTTGTAAGTTATCAGACTTCGGCAATGTGAGGCTCACTTTCGCCAAAGGAGCATGGTAGCTAGTTAATCTGGTTAACTCTTAGCCAGGCAGCTAATGGCAAATGCTGTGATGGAGATACCAAAAAAACGTTCTGGCAGTGACCTGGCGGGGGTGGGGGTGGGGTGGAGGGGGGTGGGAGGGATACTGAAGAGCTCTGGGCTGTGAGAAGCCATCTTCCAGGCAGGGTCTAGGCCAGCTGAGGAGCAGGAGCTGTGCTGTCAGGGCTGGGGGGTGGGGGAGCAGGAAAGTGAATGGTGCTTCCCAATGCCTGCTGTGCAGGGGACTTGGGACACAAGGTGACAATTTTACACAGCTGTTCGAAGGGGTTGGGAGGAGGAGAATCATCTTCCTTCCCCCTGCCCTCTAGGAGAGTGTCCCTGGATGAGGAATAGGCATCCTGGCCTTGAGCAACACTGGGTGAATGCTACTGGGGATGAACACAGGAGGGAAGGCTGGAAAGGAAGACGGAAGGAGTGGCCAAAGCTGGGAAGCTGGCTCAACGGTTAAAGTGCTTGCTGCTCACGTGACTAAACCCCCAGAAATCCTTGGAGATGCCAGTGGAAGGGGTGGCCCACCTCTGAAAGCAGAACCACAGATCCAGATCACCAGGGCAAGCTGGCAAGGAAAACTAGCCATATTGATGAAGCTCTAGGTTTAATTGAGAGACCTTGTCTCAGAGAGACAAAAGGAAAGAGGGGTCAAGGGTGATCCCCGACACCAATATTTGGGTCTCCACACAGAGAGAAGGTACATGTTCACATGTCCCCATACACATGACCCCCCCCAACACACCAGGAAAAATGGAGGGAGGGAGAAAAAGAAAGAGTGGGTTCAGTCAGGATGGAGACGACTTGGGAAAAGCCTAACAGGGAAAACACAGGAGCCCACTTAGGGCATGCAGGGGAGTGGCCCACCCTGGGCTTTCCACAAACAAAAGTCCCAACGGTTCTGACTTGGCAGCTGTTACCATTTTCTCATGGTATAAAGACACTTCTGTGGTCACCTCTGTGAGGAAGGGCTGCGCTGATGGCTGCACTGAGGGCTCTTTGCAGCTAGTTCCATATCTCACTGTATCTGCTCATCCAAGGAAACAGTTGGCTCTTCAGAGACTGGGAAGTTCGCTCAGTCCTTCCTTCTCCTATATTTCCTGATGTATTGGACACCTGGCTCCTGCTCCCTGGTTAACAATCAAAAGCATAAAAGCATTCCTCCCAGGGTGTAGCTGGACTCTCTGTCCTCTTGCAGAAACAAGGATATGAGATCAGTGGTGCCAACTAT